TCGATCTCTGGTGCGCCTGTTGTGAGCCATTTGGCCATTTGATAGCCGATACCACCCGAGAGACTGATGCCAAACGAGTTGAAAGCGCTCGCGTGAAAGAAGCCGCGAACCTCTGGATCTTCTCCTACCAGAGGCTTGTGGTCGGGAGTGAACGACTCGGGACCACATGTGGTCGCCTTAATGCCAGTCTTGCCTATTATTGGCATCAATTTGACTGAGTTTTCCAAATTGACGCCAAACTTATCCCAATTGAGTTCAAACAAACCAAACGGCTGTAAAGTGTGGACCTTATGACTGATGAGGACGGGGTCCGACTCGTAGCCACCGATGCATAGACTTTGTCCGGAGACACGAAACGCGATGGACAGGTCGTGGTCTCTGATATTAGGAGTCTTATTGTGTTTGACGCCATCGATGGCCTCAGTTATCACATACGAGTGCTCCATAGCTTCTTGTGGTATATTTGCTATTCCTATAGAATTAATGTTTTAATATTTTAGATATAATGTGATCTAAAGTCAACAAATTTTTATTTGTATTTACATTATTTGCTTTTATACAAAATAAATATACTTTAAACAAAAATAAGATTCAATGCCTTATTATATATAGTTTTGTAGTTTTAAAAGCCGTTTGAATAAGAGATTGACTAAAGAATACAGAATTGGGATGTTTTTGTCAATTCTTTATGAAATATAGATTTATGATTATAGCCTGTGTTGACAGTAGTCTATGATTACTATTTATATTATATGCAAACGGAATGGCTTTGAGAAAAATATATATAAGAAAATTTATTTTAATATAAAATAATAATATATTCAAACGAAAGCTTCAAAAAAATAATTCATGCGTCAAAACAACAGGAAATTATTTTTTCCAATATTACATTTAAATACAAATTATAGTAAAGCAAAACCGATGGCAAAACCATTTCCTTTGCCTCAACCAATAGCTAAATTCAGTTCTCACCCAAAATAATGGCATAAAATTAAAATTAGATTATTGTGCGGCAAATGAAATGAAAATCATTTCACCGCAAATCAATTGCAAAATGAAATTTGCATAAAATTTTCAATTCCTATTAAAGAATCATACAATTTGTGAATTTTAGTGATAAATATTAAATAACTAAATGATTGATATTTATATTATTTAATAAATTATTACTCCTCAGTGAATAGCGTTCACGCAAATAGTCTCAAGAATTCAGTCTATATTTGCATAATATATTAGCATTGAATTCACACCAAGAATACCAAATGTCTGATTAAGTGAAGCAAAAGAATGTAGAATTCAGTCTACAGTATGTCTATAATAATAAAAACATGGTATAAGTGAATGTAATGGTTGAATACCTGCTAATTTGGCGACGATTGGCGCCCAAACACCGGAACAGTTGACAACACAGTGTGTGTTGATATCACGTACTTCTCCCTCGTATTCAACGCTAACTCTATTGACTTTTCGTCGCCTAAAGCCGTCAATCGTATTGATGCCAATGAGACGACATTTGCTAAACACTTGAACATTACCTCCTTTAATGAGTGCCGAGCAATACATATGCGGGTCAACAAAGCCGTCGTTAGGGCTGTAGAGACCGCCCGTCAAATCGCTGGTCTTCTCGTCGATCAACGGATCCAATAACGCAATCGTTTGCTTTCTGTCCAATATATGAGACTCAATGCCATAGTATTTGGACAGACCGTGAAGTCGTTGATACTCTTGCATACGCTGGGAATTGTGTGCCAAAAACAGACCCCCGTTATTGATCCAACCCGTGGCCTCCACTCCCCGGCGGGACAGCAATGTCTTTGACACCAATTCATGCGTACGACTCAATAGAGTTATGTCTGTTTCTGATGGTNTCCCCGGCGGGACAGCAATGTCTTTGACACCAATTCATGCGTACGACTCAATAGAGTTATGTCTGTTTCTGATGGTCTCAGTCTCCAAACCAGACCTCAATATTCATTGAAATATCAATTTATAAATATTAAATAAATATTTTTGCTGTTTTTAAATAAATTTATAGCATGTTTATACAGTATACTGGCTTATTATATAGATCCCGGGATATTTGTTTGTAATAAAGGTAATAAAAGTATGTTTATAATACCGTTTGTATGCCATGTCGTTCCGCTGGTTATCTCATCCCTTTCGATGACAATTACATTATGAAATCCCAATTCATTTAAATGGTATGCCGTCGACAGGCCTATCACTCCACCCCCTGTTTGATGGCATAATAATTACATTTATTAATAAAAAAACAAAAAATTCAATTATTGAACACAAATTAAATTGAAACCACTGTTAACTGACCGACGACTACAACATCACTAGATTTGGGCAATACTTTAGTCGAGTATAGTCTTGAGAATTGTCGGTACATTTATTTCGCAAATTTTACAAAATAACATCAAGTTTTAAACTTATTTTATACGATATGTTATATATTATAATTTATAATTTTAATTATTACATGATTTAGTGCATTACTCTTAGTTTTTGTGTTTATTGTACAGAATATTTTTATTGATAATGTTTTAGCTGATTTCGATTAATATAAACATATGGTTTGTTGTAAATGCAATGAAGTAATGATTAGATAGTTTTTAACTATATGAAATGACTCGTTAAAATAACATATTAAATGATTTGGTTAAATAATATATTTGTAAACATATGAAAAATTTATAATTTAATAAAAATTGCATCAATTTGTAAATTCAATAAAAACAATAATTGTCTGCAAATATGAACAAATTTATGTGGCCTTATATTTTAGATGTATTACATTTGAAGACAGAAATATGTTTACAATAATAAATTAAACCATTATAAATGTAAGAAAATTATCAATAAACTAATATAAATATAAAACGAGTCTAAATATAGAAATGTCGATACATTTTGATAGGTTGGTGAATAGTTAGGGAAAGTTGGATTCAGGCACTTATTGCGTTTATGTTTGGTCATCTTAATTTGCTCCTGGCACAATTTCTTGAATGGGCCCATACAGGCCGCGTACGATATGGCATATGGTATGAATGTCTGCTCCACAACACCCCTAAACAGGTGTCCATTGAGTCCGTGCGCATAGACGG